TTATTTGATTATTTTCTTCTATCTTTGTTCTTCCCTTTCAAACTTTTTTTAAAGTTATTTATCTTCCTTTCAATCTCTCTGTATTTGGATATTCAGTTTTGTAGATGAGTCATCTAATTATTTCTCTCATTTTTCCACTCTAATTTGGTGACTGACTACTAATGCTTTATGGACTTATTAATTACTTTGTGTTTAGAACTGCTCAGTTTTTTTTTTTCTCACAAATGCCTTATATTTTTTGCCATCCTGACCTTATTTTATATAGTAGTCTTTTCTTAAGTGTCAGTTAAATTTGGATTTTCTGTTCATGCTTAATCATTGGAAACTGGTTGAATTCGGTGAGTTTTGTAGACTGTCAGTTTCACTGTAACATGCCTAGGCTGGACTATGTCGTTGGGGTACTTCTGACAACTGTCCTTACGTCTTTTTCTATGTTTTGCCAGTTTTGGGAGACAGATGGTTCTTGGCTTCTGTGTGTGTGTGTGTGCTTGATGTGATCAATGATATACCACTAGTGACCCTCCCTGATGGATAACAAATCTCAAACATTTTGTACAATTACTCATTCATTATTAACTTTCTTGATTAAAATTGCCTTATTACTGGTTGCTATCTATTGGGTTGTCAGAAAAGTCATGATGCATTTTTGCATAGAAAAAATATGTCATGACTTTTCCGACAACCCAATATTTGTTTTATCTGTTCTTTTTCTCACCTTTTTTTCCTGTCTTTTGATTAATACAGTGTTTAATTTCATCTTATCACCACTATTGATTTATTTTTAACATAAAACTTTTGTGGTTAGTGATTGCTTTGAATTTAGAGTATATATTTATTCATAATCTCCTCAAAATAATGCATGAGCACCCAGCAGAATCACGAGAGCCTGCAAGTGCCGATGACCTGAGGTAATTCTGGCTCCCAGAGGTTCTGTAGTCTCTTAGCAGTCTCCACTTACTCTTTATCAATTTGTCCTAGTTTTCAGCTGACAACTTCTTTTTTACCTGACTGACTCCCAGTGTCTCTTCCCTTAATCTTTTGCCCTAGGTAAACTGATGATCATATCATTGATCATATAAGGTGATATGATCCCTGCTCCCTATAGGAAGTAAGGAGCTTCCCTTAGATTTATGACTCCTTGGTAATCCTGTGGTGTCAACTCTGACAGGATGAAGAAAACAATTTTAGTTTTGCTATGGGGAACGAGTATTTTCCTGGGAGAGAGAAGAGTTGGGGGAAGTGAGAAATCTCCTCAGGGGGGTTGGGCACGCTGGAGTCCCTTCACCACTATTCTCTCTCTGGATTTTAGGTATGCACGTACATGTACCTAATGTTTTTTTTTTTTTTTTCCTTTTTAAAGTTTTGTTATAGTGTGGATGTGTTTGCCAGAGAAAGAGAAAAAGTGAGATAGCACTCCCCAGAAGTGATGGTCATGCCACAATCCTTTTTCCTCCATTCTCCAATTGTGATTTTAGGCATGCAGGCACATGCTCTTAGCATGTTCTTTTTTGTTTTTTATTTGTGTGTGTGTGTGTGTGTGTGTGTGTGTTTCCATTTTTGCTGTAGGGCATGTGTGCTCACCAGAAGCAGAGAGAAAGCATCCCTCAAGGGTAATGGCCATGCAACAGTTCCTTCTCTTTCATTCTCCTCTTGGGATTTTGGACACACACGTATATGCACCAGATGTGTTTCTCAAGCTGCTGAATTGGACTTGAACTGCACAGTTGGCCATGTGGGATCCCACCTCCTTAACCTCTATGCCATCTGGTGGCCTGCAAAACTTTTTTTATACTTTATCTGCTACTTCTTCAGATATAGTTACCATTTCCCCCCCCCTCTTCCATTAATAGACAGGGTTTCAGTATGATACCTTGACAGGCATGTGCACCATACCTAGCTTGTGCCACACTTTCATCAGTGTTTTTGGTTCAGACTTCAGTTTTTCATTGAGCATTCATTTGAAAACTTACTGCTAGATAAAAGTTTTATGCAAAAAAAGACCAAAAACTGCATAAATATTTGTAATATTAATTTACGCAATGAATGGCAGATTTAGACTAGCCTCTCCAAGATTGCTCAGATGGTTTTCTACATATATTTTATATATAATTGACCCATAATTGTTCATATTTCTCATTGACCCTGGTACCTGCAATCCTAAAGGTTTCATACAATCTATCAACTGTTGCCTTCTTGGCCAATACATGCCTGGCAGGACAATATCAGTTATGTTTTTCCACTGCCTGAGATGGGAAAGAAACAGCTGTCCCTATGGCCAGTCCTCTTTCAGTGTGCACCAAATGAACACTTTAAGCTTATCCAAAGATGTATTCAATATCTTGTCTTTGGAATGAGTCAGGAAAAGAATTCAAGGTATTGTTTGTTATCTTTGGGATATAAAGAGAGAGAAATCTGTTCACTGAACACACACACATCTTGCATACCCCTAGATAATACAATTCAGAGACTGGAAGGGCAATTGCCAAGTTTACCAAAATTTATCTCAACTTATTTGAATACTGTTTTTGGTACTGTATTAAGACATGAAAATACCTATGAAATACAACATGGTATATAATAAATCAAAATAGATTGTATTTGGGCTGTTTCAGTCACTCTGGGGTTCTATACTTGGCTATATTTTCCCTTTTAGTTTTACTAACTACTGAAGTTAGGATTTTGTCATCTCCAGTTTGATCAGACAGCTTTGGCGAAAGGAACTACCTGCCATATTTACATCAGTTGCCTTCCTGTAATCCTCCTTACGTGGTGGATATGCTCTTTCCAAAATGCAAATGTAGTAAATGTCTGAAATCTCTATAACATTACATACCATATTTTATTATTTATTTAATTTAATTTAATTTATTATTATTATTTAATTTAAAATAGGGCCCACATGCTTATTTGAGATAGAGATAGATGGGTGGAGGAAGTGAGAAAGCAAGCAAGAAAGCTGGCCAGGTCTGGGATTCAAACCATGGTTGGCTGTGTGGGAGTCCAGCACCTTAACCACTGTGCTACCTGATGGCTCTGATATCATATATTGGTTTAGAGATATTCTCCCTCCAATATTATTTAGTTCTAGGAGGATATCAGAGACTTATTTTTTTTTTCTTTTTTGGAGAGGTTTTTGCTACAGAGCGCGTGTGCTCGCCAGAAAGACAGACAGAGACAGAGAAACAGAAAGTGAGAAATCACCCCCAGGGGAGATGGCCATGCCTCAATCCCTTTTCCTCCATTCTCCTCCATTCTCCTCTTGGGATCTTAGGCACATATGCACACACACCCAGCATGAATTTAAGCCACCAGATCCAGGACTCAAACTGTGGTCAACTACGTGGGAGTCCAGTGACATAACAATTACACCAACTGCTGGTCCCATCAGAGACTTTTTTTTCCAAAAAGATTTGTTTTGAGAGATTTTTGCTATAGGGCACATGCACTCACCAGAAAGACAGAAAGAGATAGAGAGACAGAAAGTGGGAAATCACTCCCCTGGGGGGGATGGCCATGCCGCAATCCCTTCTCCTCCATTCTCCTCTTGGGATCTTGGATTTGCATGCACACGTGCCCGGCATGAGTTTAAGCTGTCGGGTCTGTGACTTGAACTGCGGTTGACCACATGGGAGTCCAGCGACATAGTCATTATGTCAATTGCTAGTCCCCAAGAGAATTTTTTTTTTTTAAATTTTTTGACTAGAGGATGTGTATCCTCACCAGAGACTCAAAGAGAGACAGAGAGAAAATGAGAAATCACATCCCCCCTCTCCCCAGGGAGTATGACTACACTGCAATCCCTTCTCCATTTTCCTCCTGGGATTTTGCACATGCATGCACATGTACCCAGCGTGAGTTTCAAGCCACTGGGTCCAGGACTTGAACCGCAGTTGGCCATATAGTAGTCTAGCGCCCCAACCTCTATGCCACCTGCTGACCCCAGGGACTTTTTTTTTTTTTTTTTAATGATAGGTTTTGCCATATGTCCTCATTTAGAATTAAATATTATGCTAGACTATTTTTAGACATACTTCTGGTGCTGCATCTGTCACATTCTGTTGCAAATTATATGTGTAAAGTCAGTTTCACCTTCTTAGATTCGAGTTCCTTGAGGACACATTTATGTGTCATTTGCTGATGTAGCTGGTACTTAATACAGAGCTTAGAGATAGGATCTATACTCACTGAATGTTAATTCAGCTGAATTATATTATTTCTTGATTATTTTCATGGTTCTTCTAAAAATACTTAAAAATATAACTTAAATTTTACTGAGTCTTTGAGAGACCTCTACATATTTTCATAAGGAAAGAGTTGACTGTTTTAATCTTTCATTCTGTTTAGAAACAATGTTTAGAAACAAAACATGAATTCTTAAAAGTACATATGTGTGTATTCTTCTTTTTTTGGGGAGAGGTTTTCGCTATAGGGCGAAACAGAGAGAGACATACAGAAAGCGAGAAATCACACCACCACCACCCCCACACACACAGAGGGGATGGTCACGCCACAATCCCTTCTCCTCCATTCTCCTCTCGGGATCTTGGGCATGCACGTACACGTGCCCGGCGTGAGTTTTAAGCCACCGGGTCCAGGACATGAACCGCAGTTGACTACGTGGGAGTCCAGCGACATAGCCATTACGCTAACTGCTGGTTCCCTATTCTTTTTTTGATGAAGAGTTCTGGTAGAGTAGTCTTCAGTCGTACATTCAGGCAGTTTCCATACACATTTGGAAAAGTGTTTGAGCAAAGGAAATACAGTATATATTTAACACTTGAAATTTTTAAGGAAGTTCAAAACTATTGGTTTTGTTTTACTTTTAGAATGTAGGATTATTCTACAAGTTATGGAGTAAATGGCCTGTATTTCTGCAGACTCCTTTTTTTTTTGCAATTGGTTATGAAATAAAAGCTTTCATTTTATGTAAAAATGTATTTTATCTTATTAACTTACTTTACTTGTTTTTTTTTTTTGTTTGTTTGTTTTTCCTACACCAGTGCAGTGATTATGACTTGGAATTTGGAACTGAGTGTCTGCAGTTGGCTCTAAAATATTGTCACACTAAAGCCAAACTTGTAGAAGGATCACCTGATCTCTGGAAGGTAATGGTACTTTACTCTGGCTCTCCTTTCTGCATGCATGTGTGTATGTGTGCTTATGTCTAAAAATGATAGAATTCTTTTAAAAATTTTGCGAGAGGGTGTATGTGCTTGCTGGGGGAGAACACAGAGATGGAAAAGGAGAAAGCACCACCAATGGGGTGTGGTCATGCTACGATCTCTTCTCTTTCATTTCTCCACCATGTTGGGATTTTGGACGTACATGCACATGCAACTGGTATGTTTTTCAAGCCACAAGGGCTAGGATTCAGACCACATGGCCATGTGAGATCTGTCTCCCTTAACCACTGGGTTACAGGACTGGCCACCCCAAATGATAGACTTCTTAAAGCATAAATGAGTCTCACTGGGTTTACATTCACATTGCTCACCTTCAAGAAAAGTCTCTGGATTTCTTTTTAAAGGTTTTTCTATAGGGCACTTGTGCTCATCAACCAGAGAGCGACAGAGACAGAGAGAAGGAAAGTGAGAAAGCACGTCCCAGGGGTTATGACCATACTGCAATCTCTTTTCCTCCATTCTCCTCTTGGGATTTTGGACCCAAACATATGTGCACACATGCTTGGCATGATTTTCAAGCTGCCAGGTCTGGGACTTGAACCATGCTTGGCCATGTGGAATCTAGCACCTTAACCATCATGCCACCTATTAGCCCACATTCTTGGAGATCATCAAACAAATTTTATTTTAGCTTATGAAGATGTTTTTAGGTTTGTTTATTCATTTGTTCTGTGAGTTTCAGAGATATGTGGATGGCACCCCCAATGGCATCTTGATGCTGTGATTCCACCTGTAGCTTTAGCCAGCCCATTGCATGGGCACCTTAGTACCCCACTTACTCAGCGAGGTCTCAGGGTGCGAGCACCTTCCTAGGTGGGTCAGCCTCAAAGTTGTGTTTTACCACTGTGCCACCCTCTGGCCCCCATAAAGATTGTTTTTATTCAGTTTTTTCCCCTTTGCTCTCTGTCCATAGCCTTTATTGTGTTTACACAATGGGGTTAAAGCCCCCTCTCTGCTGCCCACAATAGTAACCTTTTCTTTCAGGCTCTTCAGTGCTAGCTCCAACTTTACTGGGTTGAAACACTTACCTGCCACAGTTTTGAGCCACTGAGTGTGGGTGCTTGGGTGGTTCTCTCCTCCCCAGGAGTGACTGGACCCTTTCCTGTGGCCACACTCAGTCAGCAGAAGCTTCCCCCTTTTGGAGGGAATGTAGTTGCTGCAAATGAGGTTGCACACTTATGCTGCAGCTTCCTACCAAAGTGGGTTGTTTAAGCATGCAAATCGGCCATTGTTTCCTTAGGGAGGAATGTGTAAAATGGAACAGTACATTCTGAAATAGCAATGTAAATAGGTATTGCTGCTGTCAAACTACAAGGAGGTTTCAAAAAGTTTGTGGAAAACATAATTAAAGTATTTTATTTATAAATTATTTATTTATTTTAATGTATGCATAATTTTTTTCATAATGTGCATGTTCCATTAACCTTTTGAGGACCCCTTGTATTGCTAAAGCAATCTTTGGAAGTCTTGAAAACATCCACCAAAATCTGATGAATAAAGATTCATTCTAACTTAGATTATAAGTCCATAAGTGTATTTCCTAACTAATTTTAAAACAAAGCCATACAAGTTGATTAGAAAAGGTGCACAGTAACACGATGGGCTTTGCTTAATGGTAAGGTTATCTCAGATACTGTTTTTTTTTTTTTTTTGGAGAGGTTTTTTTCGCTATAGGGCGCGTGCGCTCGCCAGACAGACAGAGACATATAGAGACAGAAAGCGAGAAATCACCCCCCAGGGGGATTGGCCACGTCGCAATCCCTTCTCCTCCATTCTCCTCTTGGGATCTTGGACATGCACACACACGCACCCGGCGTGAGTTTTAAGCCACTGGGTCCGGGACGCGAACCACGGTCGACTACGTGGGAGTCCAGTGACATAGCCATTATGCTAACTGCTGGTTCCCATCTCAGATACTGTTTTAATCTATCGAATTATAAGATTTCAAAATATTGACATGTTTGGGTTATTGCTTAGTGAAGAAATTCATGCAATATTATTGCTTATTTAAAGATAGCTAAATGTTATCAATGTGTAGCAGGCAAAAGTTTTATTCACTTATATGGTTCAGTGGTGACACTAATTGTGAGAGTTTTGGTAATTGCCAATTAGTGTTTTGTTAAAAATTCTGACCCGCATTTTTACAAAACCCGCTGCCTGCCTGACCTAGTTTGAATGCCAAGTAAAAAAGTGGAAACTCTGAGGTATTTTATTGCTACTAACATGTCAACACTCTGGCCTCACTTTTGACATGTTTGGGGGTGTGGTTATTTACCCCTTGTGGGTGTTCTGGGTGAACACCAAGCTTGTAAACTCTTTGAGGTCTGTGGATGAAAGGGAAGCAAAACATTGTTTTTACGTTTTCCGTTTCATCTTCACAGTTTTCTCTTTTCAGTCTCACTGTCTCTCTCACAGTTTCTCTCTCTCTCACAGTCTCTTTCTCTCACTGTCTCTCTGTCTTCATCTTTCTGTTTCTATCTTTCTATGTCTCTCTGTCTCTGTATCCCCCTGTCCCTGTCAGTCTCTGTTTCTCCCCCTCTGTCTATATCTCCATCTCTCTCTTAGGCCCTCCCTCTTCTCTTTTTTCCTTCCCTCCTTCCTTTTCCTCTCCCCCTTTCTCCCTCCCTTCCTGCTTCCCACGTGTGTGAAATGCCCGTATTGCACTGCTATCTCCTATAGGAGAGTATTAGTCCTCAGATACATCTTGGTTCTTGTTTTCCTTCTCTGTGCAAGAAATGTCAGTGCATTGAGACACAATTGGCCTTTTCATGGTATTTCCCTCAATTCCACTGGTGAGTCACTTCCCATGTGCTGTTATGGGTTGAGTTGCATCCCTCATAAAGGTCTTCAAGTCCTAACTCTTGGCACGTGTGGAAGTGTTTAGAAATAATATTCACAGATGTTCTCAAGTTAAGATGAGTCCATAATAGAGTCAATCCTAAAGTCCTAAACCAACAAGACTGGTATCTTTTAAAATTAGCAGAGCCACACATAAGACAGAATGGCATCGTGTGATAATGGAGGCAGAGATTAGAATGATACATCTCCAAACCGAGGAACACCAAGGTTCTCTAGTGGCCTCCAGAAGCTAGTAAGAGGTTGGGGGGTGATTTCTTCCCAAAGGCTTTCAGAGAGAACATGGTCCTGTCTACACCTGGATTTCAGATTTCTAGCCACTAGAACAATGAGAATATGATTTTGTTTTTTACTTTGTCTTGTTTTTCGTTTTGTTGTCTTTAATTTTGCTATAGAGCACCTGCACTTGCCAGAGAGAGAGAAAGGAAAATGAGAAATTACTCCCTGGGGGGTGGATGACCATCTGCAATCCCTTTTCTTTTTGGGATTTTTGATACACATGACCAGCATAATTTTTTTTTAAAAGGTTTCTGCCTTATGGCGCATGCGCTTGTGTATGAGAGAGAGACAGAAACATCAGGGGTAAAGTGAGAAATCACTCCCTTGGGGGGATAGCCATACCACAACCCCTTTTCCTTCATTCTTCTCCTGGGATCTTGGAGATACACACACACACACACACACACACACACACACACACATGGTTTTTCGTTTTGTTGTCTTTAATTTTGCTATAGAGCACCTGCACTTGCCAGAGAGAGAGAAAGGAAAATGAGAAATTACTCCCTGGGGGGTGGATGACCATCTGCAATCCCTTTTCTTTTTGGGATTTTTGATACACATGACCAGCATAATTTTTTTTTAAAAGGTTTCTGCCTTATGGCGCATGCGCTTGTGTATGAGAGAGAGACAGAAACATCAGGGGTAAAGTGAGAAATCACTCCCTTGGGGGGATAGCCATACCACAACCCCTTTTCCTTCATTCTTCTCCTGGGATCTTGGAGATACACACACACACACACACACACACACACACACACACACACACACGCCTGCAGTGAGTTTCAAGGCACCGGGTCCAGATTCGAGCCACAGTCAGCCATGTGGGCGTCCAGTGATGTTAACCACTAGCCAGCTGTTGTTCCCACCTGGTGGGATATTTAAGCTGTGAGGTCCAGGACTCAAACCACAAACTTAGCCTTGTGGGATCCATCTACACTAACCTCCATGTCACCTGCTGGCCCTCATTTTTCCTTTTTTGTTTTGTTTTGTTTTGTTCTTAGGTTTTTGCCACAGGGTGCGACAGAGAGAGGGGAAGTGAGAAATTATTCCCCCGGGGGGAATGAGCATTCTGCTATTTCTTCTCCATTCTCTTCCCGGGATTTTGGGCATGCATACACACATACCTGGTGTGTTTTTCGAGCCACCAGGTCTGGGACATGAATTGCAGTCAGCCATGTGGGAGTTCAGTGCCTTAACCACCACACCACCTGTTGGCCCCTCACTTTTGTTTTTGTAAGCCACCGAGTTTGCATATTTTGTTAGGGCAGTGCTAGGGAGCACATTCCAAGGAGATGACACACTCTTAGACATAGAACCATCAGTATCTCAGTTCCACTTCCCACACTAGGTCACAGGCCAGGAGCCTCGCTCTTAAATGAATTTAGTTTGAATGATGATGCACTAAGTAGGGATTTCGGACTCTAAAAGGCCTGTATCAGGGTGTATGTTAGTCACAGGGTCTTAACAGTTAGGAGTTTTATTGAGTATCACAATTCTTTTAAGGGAGTTGAAATGATTGAATTATTAGAAAAGTCATGACTTATTTTTATATAGAAAAACAAAAATATGTCATGGATTTCCTGATAACTCAATATTTTGTATATAAATATTGCAGTTTCTGGTTCCATATTTCCTTTTCATGCTTATTTTACCTACTTCCTATCATCTTCTCATTTGTGGTTTTCTTCTGTATATATCTCCTTTTTATGAGACTATATGATTTGTCTTTAGTACAGGTTTTTAAAATGAATATTGTGATCTTTGTGTAAGAATAGAGTTTAATT